GCCTCCCGCAAGCGGGAAGCCGGGAATGGCCCCGCTCGCCGGGCACCCCTGTCCCCATCCCGCCCGTTCCCTCCACACCCCGTGCCCTTCTCTCTCATTTTGGGGTGAGAAACGGGTGGATGTGGTGACTCTTACGGCGCTCGGGGGCTTTCTTGGGGCATCACTCCACACAGGGATATTTCTCCCCRCTCCAGGGTATTGTCCCCATGCAGGGACATTTCTGCCAGTGCAGCAACATTTCTGCCCATTCAGGAGCATTTTCCCCATGCAGGGGGTATTTCCACCCATGCAGACAGATATTTGTCCCCACACACGGACATTTCTGCCCATGCAAGGGGTGTTTTCCCCCATACAAGCATATTTCCACCCCTGCAGGGGGTATTTCCACCCACACAGGGGTATTTCTACCCACACAGGAGTATTTTTTTGCTCACGCAGGAGTATTTCTAGCCACCCAGGATATGGGATAACACTGGGCTGGGGAAGCAGGGACTGGTGTGGGAGCCGGGATCGGGGTCCCTGCGGCGCCTCCTCTCCAATGATCCCCCCTGTGCCGCTGGGACGGGAGCTCGGATGCTTCTCCTGCCTCTATGGGGTGCCAGCATCCCGCTATCCTGGATGGGCTGCATCCGCACACGTGTCCCCAGACCCCATCAGGGGAGTTGAGAGGAAAAGTCCATCCTTGTCCCACTGAGACCCCCATGTCCCTTCTCCATGGAGCTCTTTCCAGACACATTTTGATCGGAGACTGAGGTCTCCACCACAGGCCAAGGGAAGGGGGTGCGTATGGCCCTGCTCCCTCCACCCTCGCTGGGATGTGCTGCGGAGCCAAAGCGGATTTCTCCAAATCTGAATATTTTGCGCCCTCTCCTGGGTCCGGGCAAGAGTGTCCAGGGCTGCTCCGGGTGTCCGGCATCCCACTCTGGCTTTTGTTTTGTTTGGGAAGAGCTGGGAAAGCTGYGAGGGGTTATGTGTGACCCCTACCAACATCCCCCCATTTCCAGCTCTCCAGCCTCCTGGTCCCCCTCCCCTGGGATCTCCTGGACAAGAAGCAGTGCCGGCCAGCCCGGCACACCGGGAATATTTTATCCATGGAAAAGTGGTTGGGGTCACAGCAAGACCAGGGCAGYATTGGGAGGGTTCATGTCCAGACCCCCATGGGACTATTGGGGGCAGGAAGCAGGGGGATCCAGGCTCTCCAACCCCCCAGGGCTCTTTAAGAGCATCGTTCCCCTATAGATCTGCCCTATAAACCCATCCCTGCAGCCCCCCCCCAGGAACAAGAGCCATAGAAACACCCTGCATGTGCACATGGGAGCCTATATATACCATACCCCACCTACATACACGTTATACATAGGCCTCATGCAAGGAGGGGAGAATATCCTATATATAGGAGATGTATATATAGGATAGGGAATATCGGGTGAGGCAAATTCTGTGCTGCAAACCATGTGCYTATACATAAATACACACAGCGCGTGTATGTCTATGTATATCTAACGCATGCGTCGTGTATATAGGTCTCTTGAGGTGTGTATAGGTATTTGTGCCCGTTAGGTGTTTGGAAGGTAAGGAGGTTTATTATATGCATGGAATACATATGGTCCAAGACTCCTGCTCCCGGGAGAATTTCACATGCTCTAACGTGATTGGAGGTGTTTCCAGCATGAGAATATTCACTGTCGAGACCGTCCATCTGTCCTGGGGGCTCTGTCTGGCCAGGACACCCCGTGTCTCCAGTGACAAAAGCTGCACATGATCCTGAGGCCGAAGGTTGGTGATGAGGAAGGTCCCACTCTGGGTTCATCCTCTATCCTACTGTGGATAGACATATGGATGGACCCTCCCCGCGTCCCCTGTTTGTTTTGCCTGGTCTTTGCAGTGCCCGTGTTGGGGAAACCGAGGCAGGGGACATGGATGGAAGTTCTGGAGATGTTCTCCTCATCGTGGCCTCCACCAGAGGCCCAGCAGCCCGGCCTCTGGTTGGTGCCACCTGCGTTGGTGRCAACTTAAAGCCAAGAAACGCCCCGGTGCTGCCGTGGCCGCGGCTCCGGGGGCCGCTACGAGCCGTAGTTCACGCAGTGGTCGTTCCTCCACTTGGAGCTCACCTTGTCKAGCAGGTAGCGGGTGCTCTCGCGGAACTTGCGCTGCGTGAAGTAGAAGAGGATGGGGTCGAGGACGCTGTTCATGCTGGCGAAGGGCCGCGTGCACTTGTAGGCGATGGCGAAGGCCTGCAGCGACAGGCAGGGCAGGCCGGGCGGGGAGCGGACGATCAGGTAGATGCTCTTGGTGAGGTGGAAGGGCACGAAGCTGATGGAGAAGACGAGGACCACGATGACGATCATGCGGATGGCCTTGTCCTTCTTCTTGCGCACGGCCAGCCCAATGAGCTCGTCCTTCTGGCACAGGATCCTGGCCATGCTGCAGTAGCAGGCCAGGATGGCCGCGAAGGGCAGCAGGAAGCCCGTGATGGTCAACGTGATGCCGTAGGGGAAGTAGTTGGCGGAGCGGTCCGGCGGGCTCAGGTCGTAGCACACCGTGCGGTTCCTCTGCGTGCCCGTGGCGGCRAAGACGAAGGTGGGCAAGCACTGCGCGATGACCAGGAGCCACACCACGGCACACACCAGCCACGTGAACCGCTTGCCCTTCTTCTTGTGCCAGGAGGCCAAGGGGTGGCAGATGCCCAGGTACCGCTGGACGCTGATGCATGTGAGGAAGAAGATGCTGCCGTGCAGGTTGGTGTAGAACTGGAAGCGGACCARCTTGCAGGCGAAGTCCCCAAAGGGCCAGTAGTCCTTCTGCGTGTAGTTGTAGATGAGGAGCGGCAGGGAGCACACGTAGAGCAGGTCGGCCGTGGCCAGGTTGAGCATGTAGATCATGGTGCGCGTGAGCCCCTCGCGCGACAGCCAGATCTGCCCGATGACCACGGCGTTGAGCGGCAGCCCCAGGACGAACACRGCCGAGTAGACCAGGGGCAGCAGCACCTGCTTGAACTCCTCATGGAAGGTGCACGAGTTGCGGGCGGCCGTCATGTTCTCCATGGTGCCGGTGCCGCTGCTGGAGTCTTCTCCGATGGCAGCGTCTGCAAGTGGAGACCCAGAGCGGCCCTGGTGAGCAGCAGGGCAGGCAGGGAGCCCACTGGGTCCCACAGAGCCCCCAGCACCTACCTGAGCCCCCCGGCACCCACCTGGGGCTTCTGCACCCTGGTGGGGTCCCTGCGCCCACCTGCACCCCCTTGCACCCTCCTGAGCCCCTCAGGAGCCCACTGTGCCCCCTGGCACCTGCTGGGTCCCGTGCACCTCCTTGAGATCCCCCTGCACCCTGCTGAGCCCTCCTGAGCCCTGATGTGCTCCTCAGCACCCATGGAGCCCCCTTGCACCCATTGGGCTCTCTGCACCTTCCTGATCCCCCAGGCACCCTCCTGAGCCCCCTGAATCCTTCTGAGCGCCTCCTGCACCATCCCAGGTCCTTCAGTACCTTCCTGAGTCCCTCAGCACTCCTCTAGGTCCCATTGTACCCACTGGGTGCCATGCACCTTCCTGAGCCCCCCTGTGCTCTGCTGTGTCCCCCAGCACCCCACAGAGCGCCCTTGCACCCTGCACCTCCTGCACCCCCCTGAACCCCTTTGCATCCATTGGGTTCTCTGTGCCTTCCTAAGCCTCCCTGCACCCTCCTGAGCCCCTCAGGACCCCACTGTGCCCTGTTGCACCCACTAGGTCCCATGCATTCTCCTGAGCCCCCCTGGATCCTCTTGAGCCCCTCATGCACCATCYCAAGTCGTTCGGTACCTTCCTGAGCTCCTCAGGACCCAGCTGTGCCCCCTTGCACCTGTTGGGTCCCATGCATCCTCCTGAGGTCCCCCAGTACCCTCCTGAGGCACCCTGCACCCTGATGTTCCCCCCTGCACCCCACGGAGCCCCCCTTGCACCCTGCCGTGACTCCCTGCACCTCCTGCACCCTTCTGAACCCGCTTGCACCCACTGGGTTCTCTGTGCCTTCCTAAGCCCCCCTGCACCCTCCCGAGCCCCTCAGGACCCCACTGTGCCCCCTTGCACCTACTGTGCTCCCTGCACCCTCCTGAGCCCCCTTGCACCCTGCCATGACCCCCCTGCACCCTGTTGAGCCCCCTGCATCCTCTGTGTCCCTTGCACCCTCCGAAGAASGCCCAGCACCCTCCTGTGCACCCCTGCACCTGCTGAGCCCCTGCACTTCCCTGCATCCTCCTGAGCCCTCCCGCACCCCGCTGTGACCCCCAGCGCCCACGGAGCCCCCCCTGCACCCTGCACTCTGCTGTGTTCCCCAGCACCCACAGAGGCTCCCGGCACCCTGCACTCTGCTGTGTCCCCCTGCACCCTCTATGACCCCCAACACCCATGGAGCCCCCCCAGCACCCTGCACTCTGGTGTGTCCCCCTGCACCCTTTGTGACCCCCAGCACCCACGGAGCCCCCCCAGCACCCTGCACTCTGCTGTGTCCCCCTGCACCCTGCTGTGCCCCCCAGCGCCCACGGAGACCCCCCAGCGCCCACGGAGCCCCCCCAATGCCCTGCACTCTGCTGTGTCCCCCAGCACCCACTGTGACCCCCAACACACTCCTAAATCTCCCCATACCGCAGCCCCCAGCGAGCCTCCGCACCCTTCCCTGCCACCCCAGAGCCCCCAGCTGCCCCATCCCATCCATGCAGCACCCATCCCGCTCCAGCACCCACGGGCGCCCCCGTATCCCAGGGGTGCTCACGGAAGCCAGTGCGAGGGTGACTCGCGGAGCCGGGTGGCGGGCAGGGGACGCAGGTGCTGGGGATGTGGCCGCGGGTGCTGCCCGTTGAGCAACGTTTCCCTTCCCTACCCCGCGGTCCCGAAATGGGGAAGAGAAACCCTGCCGGGAGCAACCGCCACGCGCCCCGGCACCCGTGTGTGCATGCAGGATGGCATGCGGAACACGCGTGCATGGGCCCATAGGCATGCACATGCCAGCACATACGTGCACATGCATGCACAGGGACCCACAAACGTGCACACACCAACACACTTGCACTTGTGTGCACATGGATCCATATATGTGTGCATGCAACACATGCATGCATATGCATGTGCACGGASCCACGCGTGTGCAAACCCACAGCACATGGATGTATGTGTGCACACAGCTCCACAGACGTGCACACAGCCCTCACATATGTGTGCTCACATGTGCACTGGGACCCAACACACATGCACATGTGTGCACACACATGCATGCACGTGCCGCTGCACACAGAATCACAGAATCACAGAATCACAGAATATTTAAGGTTGGAAGGGACCTCTACAGATCATCTAGTCCAA